GGGGGTCGGAGGACGGAGGGGAGGGTGTGTGTGTGTGTGTGTGTGTGTGTTTGTGTGTGTCTGTATGGGGGTAGTCAATAGCTCATCCCCGCATTGTCCCAGGATCCCCCACTGGCGCCGAGCAAGAGCGCAACGCAAGAGCCCAAACGGTGCAGGGGACTGCGCCGCTTTTAAGGTAGTCTGGAAGCAATCAGTCAGGGGGAAAGGTCTGTCAGAGGGATCGTAGAAGTGACTGCAGACGCACACTACCCCCACCCCCACTCCCTCCCTCCGTCTCCCTGCCCTTCCTTTTGTGTGTGTGTGTGTGTGTGTGTGTGTGTGAGACTATTCTCCAGACTCCAGGAAGTAGCCAAATTTATCTAACCGTTTTCCATTTCAGTCCGGCTGGAAGAGTGTCTGCATTTTAGTCTGCACCAACGTGCAAGACATGATTTTATTCAATATTTAGCAGCATGACGTATGAGCCACAACGCTTGTGTCTTTACTAATTTCAAAATCCTACTTGCATTAAGTAAAACTAATTAATATTAAATGGTGCAAGCAGCTGCATGGGCCAATAATATGGCCTGGTGTTGAGGCCTATGACTGAATCCTAGGGACTGTGGGATGTGAACATTATTGTTGCAGTGAAGGGAGCTGGACTTAATGGTCTACTCTGTAAAACAGGAAAGGCCTCAGCATGGTTATTAATGTTTTCTTTCAACCCACCTCTTGACTTTGAGAAAAGCTGCAACACCCTCTATCCAGCAAGTAACACTTCAATTTCTATATCTTGTTTAATTATATGCCCCAGTTTAAACTGCAATGTCTTAATGGAACTTCTAATGTCACCAATGTATGTATTAATAAAACATTGGCATAGAGACAGAACTGTTGTGCTCTGCATATGGTGGGACAAAATGAACAGATAAAATACACTCCCCCGCTCTCCCAAAACAGTCAGACTACCCTACCTTCATCCAAAAGAAAAATTAAAATAGTTTCCCCCTTTTCTGACCACCCCCACCCCCCCCCCCCCACCCCCACCCTCTCTGCCCTACAAATAATTTTTGTATATACTCCCAGCTGGGTGATATGACATTACATCCCTTGGGATAATATAAATTAGTCAATGGTTAGATATTTTGTCTGAGTTTATATCGAGGTATCTCTACCTTTGATATATCTAGCTTTAGGACATTATGGACAATTGGCTTAATTGGCTTTTTGGCATTTTTGCATTGATGTGATGTAGTACCTTGATTTGTCAGATATTGTTTTGTTTGCTGGATTTGCAAAACGAATGTCATTCCTACCTGGTTATTTGATCCATTTGCTGTTTCACCATTTATCTTTCCAGAAAATGTACTATATCACGATCTATATCAAAATTATAATTCATTTATTTTCATAGACTACAAACTGTAGCCCTAGTATCTGCTTATATTGTGTATTACCAGGACTTTCTTTCCACACATTTTTTCCCCATTAAAAATAAATAATCCCACAAGGTTTGATACACTTAAGTTCTATAAAACTGAGTGAGAAATCCTCACTTTAGCCTGTCATGTGGTCCACACAGCTGATTCAAAAGTGGGCATGCAATGGGGTAAAACAGCATTATAGATAAAGACGGATGATTAATATTCTAGATAGCAGTCCTGGCCTTTACTATAATTTATTGACACAGTGACTGCTTCCAGACAAGGGGCCATGCATATGCAATTAAAGAGGCTTATTCTATTTGAACCACAGTGCTCAGAACAGGGTGAAGATGGCACACAGGGAGCTCGTCATTGCTAAGATAAGAACAATAAAAATAAGACAACTTTAATTAAAAAGATATGAGACTTTTTTCACCACTTGCACATCTGATAGCTTGTCAGGAAAGAGCAAAAACACCCACACTGGTAAATGTCACTGCATAATTAAAATATAAAAATTCCTGGGGGGGAAAGTGAGAAGCCTTACAATATTAGCTGTGGATTTACCTGTCTCACACTCATTTTAGCCAGCTGGCCTTTCAGTGAATTATGACTAGAGGTCAGAGGTTTTCACTTTCACTCTTCTCTATTCTTTCTAAAAAGGAAATTAATGAGTTTTATTCCCGAGTCAGAATATTTAGTCAAGATTTGTCTTGATAGTTTCCCCTGAAAGTGAAAGTGAGTATAATATAATCTGACCTGACAGCAAAAAGATGCCACTGGCAGCTGGGGATGAAGCCCACAAAGGTCTAAAAGCTCATTTTGTGAGTTCACAAAGTTAAACAATACAGTAAGGTAGAACAGAGAAGCTCCAGAAAAGCAGTAGGGCTAACAATTACTTTCATCATCAATTGTTTGGACTGTAAAATCTCAGAAATCCCAGAAAATAGTAAAAAGCCCAACAATGTGGCTTTTTGCCTGACCTACACTTCAAACTCAAAAATATCCAGTTTATTATCACATAAGACAATAAAAGCAACAAATACCCCCAAGTGAGCTGCTGGAACTAAGGAATATTTGCCATTTACTTTTCTGTCCGTTGACCAGTTCACCATTCAACTGTTTCATCTTAAAAAAAAGCAATAAAATGTGGTATCAAAATGAAATATATAGTAATATCCCCAGACTATAAAAACATTTCCATTTAAAAGCAAGGCCACATCTCATAGGAGCTCAGTGATTTTGTGACATGCTAAATTTAAAATGTACACTTGCTGAGCAGCTAATACCGCTTATGAATTATTAATCAAAAAAGAGCAAAACACACGATCAAAAAGTAATTCTAGAAGGTGCCGGATGCAAATAAACCCCAAACATTCAGACAAATAAGCCTACATGCCAGCAGTTCCTGTTGTAAAGTGTTATTTAAACGCTGACAGCCTTAAAAACATGTACAGTCATAATCTCTCACTATAGTTACATGAGTCAGAGAAATACACAGCATTGGCAAATTGAATAATAAATCTATTACAACATGTGTTATCAAGTGTTCCCTGTAAATACAATGCAAGTATGCCCTTACCTTCCAATATGACCGGAAACATGAAGCAAATTAGCAACATACTGTCATATGAAATCAAATGAAGGAATGCAAAGGTCTGTGTCCTAAGGCAGTGCCCTCCCAAAGGGTTTGCAAAAATAGATCTGAGATGATTAATAATGTAAAAGAAAAAAATGTTTCTGCTATGCAAATTCACTTTTCCCCAGTCTCCCTTTCTTCATTGTGAAGAAACCCTCTGCAGGCCTCGAAAAAACTTTTCAAATGAAACAACATGAGAGGGCAACATCACTCTCACTGAACCGCTCGCAGCTCATAGATGGCCTGTGACAAGGGCTTGCGGAGAGGCACCGCAAGGCACTGAAAGAAGTAATGGCACATTTATCCTCTCACAAATGAAGAGTTTAATTCATAAAAAAAAATAAAACTCACCCTTGCTTAGTTCAGTACATACAGGGTTTAGCTGTATGACTGGTAGCTTATACCTTATGTTGCAAACAGTAGATAGATACTGCTGTGGAACTGACATCAGACAGTAACCTTTGTGACTTTATGACTCTTCTCTGCTTGTGCTCCTGTTACACAAAGTTTTGCTATTGCGACACAGCCAAAGTTAGCATTAACAGCTGTTTACTTACCGGTCTGGAAGAAATGTTGCAAGTTCAGCATCAGACTTCAGTCTTTCACTCTCCAAGAGCTGTCTCCAGAGGTGGAAGGCAACTGCGATGCTAATTCTTGTCTCTATCACTTCTTTTCTTCTACTGAAGTTAGCATGCTAACCAGCTAGCCCAGGTCCATGTAGTCACTTTTCGATAGCGACACACTGTAGCCTCCAGTCTGCCATGAAGATGTAGCGCTGCTCAGAGGGTGAATTATAACTTCTTTTATTATGGAGACAACAATGAATCACAAAGTCAAACAAGTAATAAACACTGTAACTCTCCAGTAGACATGTTTGCTGTTTCCTTTTTGGAGCTTCAAACACTCTGGTGAGACGATTTAGTCCAACAGCAATTTTTATTAATTTTGATTCTTTCACCAGTTCAGCCTCTTTCAAACAATTCATTATGATTTACAACTTTTCATTCTACAAACCTTACAGGGAACAGTTCAAGACTTCAGCATCAACTGACAACAGTTCATTATGTTGTATGAGAGATGGAAGCTGGAACAGAAACATATCCCCAGCCCGCACACAGTAGCCAGTAAATAAAAAGAAACACCATAATACAATATTAATTACTTCAATCTATCCAAACTTTTCAAATGGATCAAATTGAAACTGGTGTTGTGTGATGCATCAATGGATGTTTTATATCCCTATATACCCCCATCATACATTTACATAGTAGTTAAAAATTAATAGGTAGCCAACCATCACAAGTAATTATAACGTACTGGGAAGTGGCTGGTTGAAACAGTCATGAATATACCAAGACTTTTAATTCATATCTTCCTCTCTGCAAGATCATTTCTTTATTTAAGAGGTTTTGGTGAAAAGAAACCTTTTCAGTGTGGGATTCATGTCTAAAAGCTATTGTTTGATAAAACTTTCCCCAGTGGAGGGTATAGAGAAGGTCATTTTACATTCACGTTTCTTTAGCCTGGTTTTGTGCAGGGATTCAATTTGTGACATTTTATCGAAGTAGCTGGAGGACTCAGTGACCCATTTCCCTTTATAGGCCATTAGAGTGAAACAATTTTGAAGATCTGCATACGTGTAAGTGGACTACATACAAGAGAGCCAAGGCCAAATGGTGATAGCAATGTCAGTCAGTCTCTTTGTCCATCCAACACTTTGGTCCAGAAAAAGATATCTCAAACCTAACGGTGAGACAAAAAGCATCACAATGCACTGGGCTTTGAAATGTAATAAGCACATTCATGCTCTCCAGAGGATACACTTTAACAAGCTAGGAGCTTTCTTCTTAGTTCAAATTTGGACAAAAATGTTAACTTTGAACATAAAACATATAAAACAGCCCCATTACTGTTTAAAGGAGCTATTTCTAAGTTTTCCTATTGCTACATAGCCAGCGTTAGCATTAACAGCTGTTTACTTACCAGTCTAGAAGAAACGTTGCGAGTTCAGCATCAAACTTTATTCTTTTATTCTCCAAGAACTGTCTCCAACGGGGGACCAAAATTTCATGGCAATCCATCCAATTTTCACTTAAAGCCAAGAACTGTATCCTGCTGATCGCATAAGTGGAAAAGGGGGATCACCAAAATGATCAGGATTCATCTTATGGGGACCATAAACAGCAAAATTCCATCTATCCAACAGTTGTTGAGACATTTCAGTCTGGACCAAAGTGATGGACCAACAGACAGACCTTGCCATCCCTAGAGCTTACATTGTCTCTGTTTCTTTATTTCTTGTCTTGCACAGCTTCGATCTTGTGATGCGTCAATGTAAAAAGGTCAACAACTGATCTGACCTAGAAAAAATTTGAGCAAGGTAAAAAATATTTCCTAAGGTGATTTGGCCAGAGATTGTTCACTTCCAGTGACCTGTGACTGGTGAACACAGGCTTTCTTGCAGACATCAAGATCATGATAAGTCTGTCTGTCTCTTCTTTTATATCCGTCAGTGTGAAAATTTGGTTCTGTTTTTCCATTGATGGATCAGCTTATTGAAAGACTGTTTTCATTCCACTGGAGATTTGTAGGAAGGAATGACAGTGAGACTGAGCGTTATCTGTTTTGTCTGACAGTTTATTTTTATATTTATATCTTACTCTGTTCTGTTTTCATGCTGTGAGCTAGCTTCCCCCTTGCTGTGACCTCATCCTAAAACCACTGAGCCTAATGACCTTCCATCGTTACTGTAGTGATCTGTCATATTAATGAGTTTGGTGTCACTAGGGGCAACCAGTACTTAGTACAGAGCCACTTCAGCAAACTGGTCTCCAGCGCCCTACTTTCTACAACACTCAATAGACACTGATCTGGGTGTGACCTCTGCGTCTGGAGTCACGCTGCAATGCAATCTCACCTAGACCTTGAGGAAAACGTACCAGCCTCTAAATAAAATAAATAAACTACCCATCCCAGAATCCCCTGCTCCATCCATCTTCCTGCTGTCACCTGAAACGGGAGCCCATGGTAAGGTGATCCCGCACCATGAAGGAACAAGGAGGGCCATGTCACTTTGTGAAAACCTCCGCTCAACCATCTGGCACTGCTATAATAGAGCTGCAAGCAGGTGAGAGTCGGTGCAGAGAGACAGAGCGCCTCAGTCTCCTCGAGCGTGAAGACTCACTGTAACCTACCAACGACCTCATGTTGAAAATGGGCCATTCTTTACATCAAATTGCATCTATTATATTGTCCTTGAGAATAAGAGAATTTCAGGCATGAAAATCAATACAATAGAGACGAAAGGCATGAAATTCTCCCGGGAAGTGGGAGCTCCAGCGACACAGTGGGTGCCATTGTGCTGCAAACCCCCCCCTCCCTCCTAAGTGGTTTCATGCCTCTGTTACTGCTGCCTCTGCAGCTATGACCACAACAGGCAACAATAAGACATGAGATACTTTCAGTGCTAAAGTTTATTAATATTCTGTGATGCAGATATCAACAGTTTGGACAGTTGGGCTGATTTTTCTTTTGTGGTGTTTGCTGTACAGAGGTACACACACATTGTTGAAAGCACTGATGATGTCTAAAAAGAAAAAATTCTCAGCTATTGTATGTACAAACTGTTGTAGTTATGGTGTCTCAATAAAGTTGACAGATCTGTCTCTGCCAATAGAAACCCATTTAAATTTCTTAACTTAACCTAAAAAAGTAAAATAAAGTCTTGAGTTTACAAGATAAATCTGACTGGTCTTGAGATGATTAATGAGGTACGATAGAAGAAAAAACATATATTATAATTTTTCGGACAAACAGTGAGGAGTTCCACTTCTTCAGACCTCTAAAAACTTTTCAAATCAAACTTATGCAGTGTGACAAGAGCCCATAAAAGATATTGCTTTGCTTTAAAGGAATAGTTTGACACTTTGGGAAATATGCTTCTTCGACTTCTTGATTTCTTGAAGAGAGTGACACGAGAAGATTCATACCACTCGATATTGAGCTAAAGCTAGTAGCCGCGTAGCTTAGCTTAGCATAAACACCGGTAACACAGGGAAACAGGTAGCCCGGGTCTATCCAAAAGGCAAAATACACTTACCAGCACCTCTAAAGCCCAGTAATGAATACACATTATATCATGCATCAACAAAGGCTGTGAAGAAAAAGTCTTAAAGCTAGAAGACATGGATGTAAACAATACAGGAATTTAAATGTTAGAAAACATAAGCTTTGCAAATGTTTTATGAGGCAGGAAATGCACTTGACAAATTTGTTAGACCTGAAGAATGCACATGATGCGTTTTGGTGAGTAATTATGTAAACATCACTTTTGTTTGTTTACGAGAAAACTCCACAGAACACATTTAATCTGTACAAAAAAAAAGAAAGAAGCAAGTGCAAAAACTGTGTCATTTTATAGTGCGTTATGTATTTGGGCTATTTCTTGGCCGTGTTCTGTGAACACTGTGAACCACAAATTGTTGTTTTTAAACTTGAGTTTTTGTGCGGATTAATCAAGTGAGATGTAAAGTGTAAATCAGAGCTTTAGAGTTGTTGGTGGGCAGATTTCTTATCATTGGAACAAGCTAGGCTAGCTGTTTTTCATGGCTGTTTTTTTTGTTTTTGCACTAACCTGAGCTGTCAGTGCTGTAATATTTCCATTCACTGACAGCTCCTGTGTTGCCTGCCTGACATAATCCACGAGTTAATGCAACAATTCGTATAAACCTAAAAAGATGACAAATCCAATATACTCCACTTTTAAGTCTACATTCTGCCTGAATGTTGGTGTTTCACTTTGCTTAATAACCATGTGACACTTTGGTTGCTTTGAATTATTATTTTTATTTAAACTCCTATGTTCAAAGTAATATTTGCCACAAAATGACAGCTGTTGTCATATAATATGTAATAATATAAAGCCAGTTTCCCACCTGGGAAGAATCAAAGTATAGTACCACCGTTTCGCTTTCAGAGTAGTAGTCATTTCAGTACTACTACAGTTTATATTTTGAGGGGCTGAATATATAAAAAAAACAATATACATGAAAATAAATAATTTCATACAAAGTCTCTAGTTAAACATGCAAATAAAGTGACAACTGTAATTATGCACAATAGGACAGAGGGGTTTAATGACTTGCCCCAGTTTGAGCACTTGCCTTAGGTTACCGTCAGGAAAAAAAATGAAAACGACAAAGACAGGGTAAAGTCAGATAAATGGGCTTGGAGCAACAATGAAATCACATGAATCAGAGTGACGTGGATTGCTAATATTATCCAGGGACTGAAATTAGGCATTAATTAAACTGTAACTCAGTGTGAGGGTATTGGAGGTGGCCACAGTGGTGGGCTCAAATCTGAAAATCCTGCATGTTGCAACACTGCATAAGACCTTCTGCTGGACATCAGTTCTCTTTCTCCGACCAGTTTTGAACTTAATTTCACAAACACAAATCTTTTATACAAACCCACTGTATTTGGAGAACTGTGCATGGTTAAAATAAAACACTAATTTATGCAATAATCATACTTAAAATTCTGTATTTTAGAGGATATTTAATAAAATGTGTGCTGTGTCTTCGAAGACACATTGCCTGTCTTGAATATTAAGTCTGTACTACTTCTTAGCATTCAGTGCAGCAGTAGATGAATGTTCACTAGAGCAGTGTAACTTAGGTGCATATGTTTTAATTGACCTTTTCTTTGTAAGTAAGAAAAAAATGTGGGATTACCCACCGCCAGTGTCCTGAGCTCCTCACAACAACAGAAGGTTTTACAGAAGAGATGTGACTCGGCATGTGCTATGGAACCGGGTGAAGCTGCTCAAATGTTAAATAGGTATTCACTACAGGACTGACTGTACATGAGTGGGTGCTACCGTGTGAACTGTTAACCAGTGCAGATGAAGCTTCACAGTGTAGAAGCAGAGGAATTATTAGGATATGAGGGGAAAAAAGAGGTGGTGCTGCAGAAAAAGAAAGAAAGAAACACCTTTCTGTACAAGGTCGAGGCACTTTCAAAGCAGCGTGCACATACTTATAAAGGGTAATGCACACACACCCACCCAAACACACACTCATACACACACACACACACACATGCTGTCAGTCTTTTTTCTTTTTTTTTTTTTCCTTTACTGAACGGAGATGGAGACACACACAGTCAGCTGCAGAAGGTGTTTCAGCCAGAGTCCATGCTGAACAGCTCGATGCCATGCGGGCTCCAGTTGAGGCCGACTCCAGAGTTAAAGACCAGGGACCAGACGTAGGGGATGAAGAAATCCTCCGGCTGGTCTTCCTCCACGTACTTAAATTTGAGCTCCGGAAACTTCTGTTCACACAAAAAGAAAAACAGAGAAAGTTGTTAGGAAAAGAAGAATGTTCAAATTCAAAAATGATGCTGTCACAATGTTAAACCTACATGCTGATATTTGCTATGTGAACACACTGACCTTTTTCACAGCAGACATTTTGATGAGTCATAGTAAGAACAACATATTATTAATGAACCATGCCCTTTTCTGTGTTGCATTTCAGTGTTGCAGATAGCAGTCAAAACGCACCCTGATATTTAATGGGGTGCACTTGACAGCTATGTTGATTGACGATGCATTTTAGCCACAAATGTCTAAATGAAAGGTAAATAGCAGTGATTAAAAAACAGCTGGATAAGTGAGTATGAGCTGCTTCAGATGTTGTCCATCCATAGTTTGAGGGCTTGTCAGATGACTTAACACTTCACAGCAGTTTGTAATACAATGAGGTTTAACAAATCATTTTATCATCTGCTGCAACGATCGCCAAGTAAACGGTAAAGTTAGCCCATTCACATACTTGCACATATTGGATTTGGAAACACAGTATAATGCCTGATGACGCTTCATGGTGCTGTGGAAAAAGGCCCCTGAAGTTAATGAGAGAGCAAAGTTTTTTCCCAAAGTATTATTGGTCCTAAAACGGCCTGTGACACCAACACCACTGAGAAATTGCCTCCAACCACATTTGATACTTGTAAAGTGCCATGACCAGTGAAATGACGTCTGTCTTAGATGGATGGAGGTGCGGCTACACAGGTAGGTTAACTTGCTTAGGCCACTCAGTAATCACTTTTCATCAGGTACAGTATTTTGCTGGCAGATGTAATTCCATCTGTCTGTGAGGTAAATTTGGTTACAGCTGCCTGCAGGACAGGTATCACTCTGTGGTCCAAATACTGACCTTTTAATGGGCTGGCTAATGTAGGAGTGTTGTTTTACAGAGCAGTCTGTCAGCCATTCTGACCTTACTGTTTGTAAGTGCTGACGCTACATCCACACTAACAAAATTTAGTTTTAAAGCACATCACTTGTGCTATGTTTTTATGCCTGGCCTTCAGGAAACACTACTGGCCTCGTTTTAGTTTGAAAACTCCTGGAAAACAACAATATGAATAAGAGGACTTTGGCTCTGGGAATCAGTGATGTACATTTTTTGACATTTTGTGGACCAATGAACAATTAATTGTAAAATCAAAAAAAGAATCAATAAATAGTTGCAGTCCTAATGGATTATATAAGATGTTGTTTTATTTTGTCGTTTTTCTTCTCCATCTGGTTAGGACAACAGATGAATATTAGTGTTCTAGGCTCATTTATACTTATTTCTTTCTGTTGATTAATACACATTATCACTGTAAAATAAACGGAAATAAATAAACCAAAAGAGGAATTCGGGAAAAAAAGTAAAATCCAGGATTAGCAAAAACCTAAACAAAATCCTGCACATAAAATGAATTAATTTTAAGAGCTCAAAACTAATCCTGTTACATATACAGAGAGGAAAACAGCTACAAGTAAATTTGTTTTTATTGACATTTGTTTCAGCACATTTCATTTATAATAACTTAAAATAATAACTTGAAAATTTAGCAATGAATTAATGTCTGCATTGCAAGTGCAATGTTTGAAACTAATGATTATTTTCATGATGATTCGATCTAAAGATGATTTTCTCAATTAAATTATTTTGTCTATAAAATGTCAGAACATAGTGGAAAATGTTGTGTAATTTCAGACAGTCTTGTCAGACTTGTCTGGTTTTGTTCTACCAACAACCCAAACCCAAGAATTTTCAATTTACAATGATACAAAAGAGAAAAGCTGGATCCTCACATTTTGAGAAACCATAATCAGAGAATCTTGAAGATAATTGTTCATTTCCTGGTGATCAACTAGTTGATTAATCGCTCATTTTGACACAACCCCCCACTGAAATAGTGGGTGTTCAAGTCTTTTTCCCAATTTGCCTGAAGCATACACGAGCCCACCAACCAGCCTAAACCAGGCTTCTGCCAGACCACCTAACAGCAGGTAGGTAGCAGAAGAAGAGCATCAATAATACAACGGTACCTCATTATATCCTCCTGTCTACACATGCATGTATATGCACACACGCAGCCAGTAATCAGTCTGCGGTGAAAGACAGACGCTGAGGGCCTTTATGTGATGGTCCGAGTCCTGTCTATTGACTCCTGGCTGGCTCTATTCACAGCCACACTATCGGTATCATAATGACATAGACAGAGGGGCTACGGGGTCACAGGCCATATGCCAGGCTACTGAGGCTAGACCACACACACCACCGCCATTGTGACAGCTAGACACAATACAGGAACTCTATTATCTGGCTGGTATTTGTGTGTAGGTGACTGTCTCGTGGACAAGCTTACCAACTCATCAAATGTTCATATGACACTGATGGTGACAGTTACTCAAGCCTGACTCACTTTCACTTCTTAGCATAGTTTTTAGTCTTTCATTTTAAGATGGAAATTGATTTTCTAGCAAAAAACAAAACAAAACAAAACAAAACAGAAGGCAGTTGAGCTGATTAATGTCCTGCCATAATCACCATGATATATGAAACATAACCAGTTATGCTAATTAGGTAATTAAGATAATTAAAGCATTAATCAGCAAATACTGCAATGTCAACATACTTTGCAACACATCTCCATCTTAAGGCATTAAGGAATCAAATTTCCCCCTCATTAATGTAACAGTGCTCCAAAAACTAATCATCAGGAAGTTGGTGGTGTAAGCAGTATGTGTCATGTAATGTTTTGAAGTTATCGTTTTCATAAGAACACATCTATAAGGCGACAAAAGCCACTGTAGAAGTGTTGCACATAACAAGTTTCCTAAGTGGCAGGACATTAAAAGAACAATATTGCAGCTCTTTCAAACCATGACTGGATTGTGAATATGAGGAGCACTTCATCGCGACCTCTGAACGCACTCTCAGTTTACAGGAACCGGTGAGACAAATCAGAGCTCTACTTTAAAGCACGCAAATGGTCTTTTCTCAGCCACTGCTGCATATATTTGAATGCTTTGTGCCTTTGTAAATGAAGGTATGATTGGCCTAACATCAAAAATGACTGCATAGAATTCTTTTCAACCCTTTACATAATTCAACATTTTCCCCTAAGATCAAGTATGTTCCTTTCTTAGGCCTCTGGTTTATTGTGTCATGGAAAGGCTATTGATGGGAGATAAAGAAATTACATATGTACGACAGCTAGACTGGCTCTGTCCAAAGGTTAAAAAAAAATGTACCAACCACCAAAAACCAAAGTATAAAAACTACAATTTGTGGTTTTTATGATGGTTTTTGTGAAGGTCGATTTCGTGGCTTCTAGATTCAGTTTTACATTTCTTTTTTGTACAGACTTGCAGGGTCCCCATTTCCTGCCCTCATGCCAAGCTAAGATAAACTAAACTAAGCTAAGCTAAACTAAGCTAAGCTAAGCTAAGCTAAGCTAACCTAACCTAACCATCACCTCAAGCTTCATACCTAATATAGTATACCTATTATATAAGATAGATGGATAGATACTTTATTTATCCCCTAGCAGAAATTCAGGAATGTATGTACAGATATGAGAGTGGTATTGATCTTCTCATCTAATTTTCTGCAAGACAGCGAACAAGAGTATTCCCCAAAATATTTTATTACCCCTTTAATGATAAAGGTTGTTAGTGTGGTCTTATATCAGTAAAGCAGGCACTATATAATCTCACAACTTGCCAAGAGACTGAAAAGTAAGTGAAAATGATGCAGCTAGAGCTGCTAAAACAAACATCTTTTATCCAAATGAGTGTTTCTCAAGACCTCAAGTGCCTACTGGAGGAGAAATTATGAACCTAAACAGCAGGAATATAAAGTCCCCTGTGCACCTTCGACCACTTTCACTAGATATTGAACACATAATGCGAAAAAAGAAAAATGATCCCTGAATCACAATGGCCACCATTTTTCCTCTTACTTTTATATTGGACAAGGGTCGCCAGGGGATTTGGTGCTTTGGGAAGTCTTGGATATCACTACATGTAGTACGGCTCACAGCAAAAACGACCCCTTCAGGCTCCAGTGCTTTCTTGGAAAAATCGGAGCATCTAACACCCTAATATTATCCCTGTCCCTTATTCTGTCCATACTGCGGCTTCCTCTCTTTCCTCTGGCACTCTGTTGCCTCCTCCCCTCCTCTGTTTTGTTCTCAGTCTGGCAGCTGTCTGGGCCCAATTGGCCCAGGCTCATATCAGTTAGTTATGGGTCTTGGCGGGTCAGGCCCTCGCCCCTGAACACAGACTGACTGGCTGGCCTCATATCTTCACTCAGGACTCTGTGTTCCCTTCCCTCCTCTGCACGCTGCTGTGCTGTCAGAGCTCAGCCAGACAGAGAAGAATGCGGCTAGGGAGCAAATATGAACTCAATACACACACAAATACACACACACAACACACACACACACACACACACACACACACACACACACACACACACTTAGATGCAGGTACAAAAGCATTGGAAGGTTATAGAAGTCATAAGTGCAACAAATTACTCCTTGATAAAACTTGTAGTAAATGTACAAATGCTGGAATTTCATTGTGTATCATTGTAAACAAAGGGCTTGCAATTAGTCATTCACTTCAATAATAACCATTGGTGATTTCAGGCCATGTTCACAGTGATGTGGACACAAAATATCCTGTGTAAGTATCCATCAGGCCCAATATTTTCAGATAGTTTGGTTGAAGTTCACTGTCTTCACTTCCTATCCATACTCTTTATTAGTGCAACTATTGGATGGACTGCTCTCAAATTTCGTGCAGACGTTCATGACCCCCAGAGGCTCAGTCCTAATGACTTTGGCTATCCACTGACCTTTCCTCTATCGTCACCATGAGCTAAATTTTTTTACTTATCTAATAAAATACATCAACATCTTATGATGGATTGGCACAAAACTTTGTACAGACATTCATACGCAGCTCCCACATGAAAAATCTGAATGACTTTGCTGATCTCTTGACTTTTCCTCTGGTGCCACCATGAAGTTCACACTTGTGGTTTTGAGTGACATATCTCAACAACCTTTGGACAGATTGCTATGAAATTCGGTACTCACATGCATGTTACCCTCAAGGTGAAATAACTTTTCATCATCTCCATGATCAGGTCAAAATTGTAATTAGTCCAGTACTGGGGATTATGACAGACATACCTGCAAAACTAATGACATTCCCATCAGCCTCCGCAGTATGAACATACAGTGTAGCCTCATAGAGCTGCTAGTGGTTGTAGACATTATATAGACAAAACAATGTATCATGTTTTGAATGAAAATAGTTGCAATATTCATTGATTTATTTGGTCAATTTATTAAATGTTAAAGCAACATTTTGAAATCATATTTAGGTATTGAAGATTGATAGGAGCAAAATTTAAGGTTAACTAGCTAAAAGGTATCACTAATTTCTACTACCTGGTTACAATAATCTTAAAATAATTTATTTTCACACTCTGGTTTTATTGCACGAGCCTTGTTCACCCTAAATTTGAGTTGTTGTCAGATGTTTATTGAATCCAGGACTAAAGATCATTCGGTAAGACAGGTTGTGTTACACGGCACGATCTCAAACAGGGTTTTCATAAGTTACTCCATTTGTCTGAGAGAGGCTTCAGAGTGAGAGACGTGTGGGAAAGTAGTACTGACCAGCCATCAGACTTAAGATCAAGGCCCAGGTACTGAGTAACAGCTGGTAAGCCCCACCCCCACCCAATCACCCCCCTCCGTCCTGTCCTGAGGAGCCAGAGAGTCTGTAGGCTATCGCTGCTCAATAAGGCAGATTTCAGCTGGTCAGGCTAAACAACACATTCCACAGGCACTGCCCATGAGAGCCTCTTAGCCTCACACACCCTGAAACAACACACACACATACACAAAGAATGAGAGAGAGACGGTTGAGTGGCGAGGCACTGAGGATCGTCCCTGGGGTATTTACCACCTTCTTTAAACCCTTTCTTTCAGTTGGAACCTAATTTACATGTCTACGTCTTTGTGTAACTGCTTTTAGGTACTTTAAGTAAACAGGCTTTCTGTAGTCTTGAGTCTACAATTCTCCCTCACCTAAAACGGCATAGTTGTGTTTTGTCAGTAAAATATAAACAAAATTATTTACTTTACAACTGTCACCTCCGCCCATCAAACAGATTTCCAGATACTAAGGTGCATGTCCACACTAAGGCGGATCAATATAAAAATGCAGTTTTACATGAGAAAATGAATTGTGTCCACTTTCAGGTAGCTGGTAGGAAAATGGCATCCATTGACATACATTGTACTACTATTAAATGTGAATATTACCACAGGATAGAGTGACTTCACCAATGAATGAAAAATGAAGTTGAATTACATGCTTGTACTCGACTTGTGTTTCTTTTTTTTTTTTTTTTTTTAAGAGAGGAACAAACATCCTTATGTCTCTTTCCTTTCAGCCCACACTGTGCACGCACAACTGACCAAGACACCAATACTCCTTCTAAGAGCTTTTACTGAGTAATTAACAACTTATCAATGAGTCCACACAACATTAATCCAACCTATGGATTTTCGCGTTGGAGGCTGAATAGCAGAATGAGCTCATAAGATGAAGAGAAGCGAGAGGTAGAGGGACAGCTGTTTGTTTGAGCGATGGTACCATCAAGCGGCGGGGACTTCTCCCCGAGGAGACATTGCCCAGATATTCTCTTCGCTTCACGGCACCCTGTGGAGCTGGAAAGCACTCAGATGTTGGAGAGTCAATGCGAGACTCAACACTTCTGCACAGAAACAAAGACTGGCACACATGGCTGCACACACAGTTACACATCTGAACACACCAACGCTCACACACAAATTAAAATGGTCATCTGCAAACGTGCACACACACACACACACGGAGAGGATGATAAACACATATGCACCTATTCCAGCCACAGCTGAGTGCGCGAGTGTGTGCTACAGGTACAGCAACCTCGCTGAAGGACATGGCAGGGTTATCCACATGGCTCCATGTGTAATTCTACAGCTCTACGGTCGATCGCTACATTAGCGCTCCGAGGTGCTGACTGAGAGCGAGACAGACAGAGCACATGGACTCGTGGCCACGCACCATCCCTCTTCCACACTGGCTAGTGAGACAAATGCCTTGCAGCCAGCCGCCAAGTATAGAACATGAAACACATGATAAAACATGCAATTAAGAGCTTCTGTGCGGGTGTGGAGTGGAGTGGGGAGACCGCCGGTTACATATTTCCTCACTGATTAATGGAGGAGCACTGGGAGGGGCGGGGGTTAGCGAACCCGCCAGGAGTGTTGGGAGTGTTGGGTAACGAGGCGCGGTGGCAGATTTATTTCCCCCCACCACCCTCCTCCCAATCTTATGTGCCCATGACAAAGTGCCCCATAGCCCCCCATCCCATCTCCTTGAAATGTCATTACATGTTCGCATGTAGCAAGCTAGCAAAGATGGAATGAAGATGGGCATTAATGCTAATGAGAATTGGGGTTTGGCCTTTTGTCTCACGTCCCAATGGTTCTTTCCATCTTTCCCTCGCCTCAGTCCATATCCCTGAGCCATACCTCTCCCGCTCTCTCACCTGTCCAGACAAACTAATTCGTTTTTCTTCACCTCCCCAGCACCAATCCACCATAGCTCGCAGCCCTTAACAACACATTGTTCAATTCTACACATGAATCTTGATGTCCAATATGTCCCACTTCTTTTTTCCTCAGCTAGCTATTTTTCATTATTCCTCATCTCCGTGCACTGTGATGTGTGTGTGTGTGTGTGTGTGTGTGTGTGTGTGTGTGTGCGTAAGATTTACCTTCAGTCTGTCTTTGGGCAGGGCCTGGGCTCCTTTCATGATGACCTCCTGAACCCTCTCAACTGAAAGGTCACTTCCAGCCTGCTCCAGCCGCTGACTGAAGAAGCCAATCACCTAATGGCCACACAAGAGGAAACAGCCAATCATAATAAAGAACCCAACTTTGCCAAAAATACATTTGGTCTGATGGAGATGATGATAATTCATTTTGGGAAATTCACGTGCACTAAATATTAAGCTACAGCCGGAAGCTGGTTAGCTTAGCATAAAGAAACTGGGGGAAACAACTAGTCTGAGTCCGTCTGTAGATAATACACCTATCAGCACCTCTAAACTTCCCGAATTAATGTCAATTAATACCTGAAGCAAGTCACTCCCGCCGGTGACGAAACAGCCCCAGACATAGATGCAAATTAAAACCACAACTCGTCGTTTTTTGAACAACTGATAAAATCAACTAACACTGGGTTGTAAAGTTTAAAGATATATCTGAATTAGTGCGTGTTGGCATATGTAAAAAAGAAATTGAAGAACAGTAAACTGCAGTCAACGTGTTTTGGTAGGACTCAAATGCTTATTTGACTTAAATTTGTCACGATTCAAATTTAATATAGTTTTTATGTGTAGTATTTAGATGAATTTCATTTAAATTCGGTTTTATTGGTGTATCAAAGAAGTAGTCGTGTTTAGGTTTAAAAAAAAGAAAGAAAGAAGAAGAAAGAAAAATTTCAGCAATATATTGTTATCATATTGTTGTATTGTTACTGCTCTGAAGTATCAATATCAGTATTGTCCTCAAAAATTCAGTATTGTTTGGTCTCTAAGCTAAATCTTTCACCATTAAATCCTGTTCCTGTTTCTAAATACACAGGATCTCATGTCATCTTGATCTCACTGAGGTTTAACACTCCACTCCCAGTTCTGTCATGAAGCTCTTTGACTCGTCTAATCCTACTGTTTGGAGCTGTCACACTGATATTGCAGCAGCCACACCCTATATGATGACACTGGGTGCAATATGAAAATCTGAGTTAGAACAAAGTGGCATCATGCTACATATAGAGGGCTTCAATCTGAAAATAACAACAGTGCTGTTGATGTTAAACCCTGTTAACAACATCAAGAGTCACATAAATTGCTGTTAAATCTATGCAGCTAGCTTGTTTTGATCGGTTTGATTTGGAGTCGGCATTTTAATTACTTGCATCAAGAGCCAATGAGATGCATCCAATGGTTGTCATGTTTCCTAGCATTAGCCCGTTGCTCAAGAAATGGAACTATAGTATGCAAGAATACAGAGTTACGTATAGTGTAATTTAAATGCCAATTATATCACAATACTAATTGAGAATATTCGTAACTAAGCGGATAAAAGTTGACGAAATGGATACAACTTTATGAACTCTGCTTTTAGAGAGTGGAAACATGCTGTACAAACTCAAAATGCTACGAACACAGGCTTGGCTAATACAGTATGCCTGTAGGCTACATACTCAGTAAAGACATGCAGTATTTCAGATTACAAATTCACCATAGGGTTTGAGTGTGTTTCTTCCCACTTAAAATAAGCACTTCAGTGGAGCTCAAATTATTTGAGGCCTTCTGGGTTTAAGCCAAACAAGAGATCAAGGAAACTGTATTTTGCATTTCCACTGCTGTGCTAGGTTCTTCCCTGGAGAATTGTTTGATATTTGATCATTAAAAAACTCTAGGTATTACTGATTCTTTTTAATGCTCTTCTTTGTCAAACCAACAGTGAAAAATGCATCTACAGGCAATGTTTTCTCTGCTCATGCTCCGTGGTTGCTTAAGAGAATTCAAACACACCATAGCCCACAAGCACACTGTGTGCGTGTGTCTACATCTATCTAATACTAATCTCTTCATTAACTCTGAAGGCCTCCCATATGGGGTTAATTTAGAGGAGCAAAAAAGCAGCCCCTCATCTTGAATCTCATGCTCACACACACGGATTTGCAAGCACGGGTAAGGCTTCGGAGAATAGCCTTAGGGAGACTGACTTAACTGAGAGATTCTAGCTAGCATGCTTCCCTCATACTTATGGATAACAGCAAAACCCCTGGCAGTGTATGCAGCAACCCCCATCCCTCACACGTACACACCAAAGCTCGCTTTCCCCCTCTACATGACTAATACAGTGATGAAGGACAGCTTTCTCTCGCTCTGTCCCTTCCTCCCCCGTACACCAAACACTCTCAATGAATATTTGACACAGAGCCTCTTGACACAAGGGGGTTGATTAATTCATCAATAGTACTTAAGCTCACAGAGCTCAGCATGCCATACAGTCCAACTGCACACTATGTTAATGATGCAGTTTGCATGTGTTCCAGGGGTTTCGGGCTTTTTGAAACTTTCCCTGCAGACGAAGAGGACATTCAGGGAAAACCTGTATAACCTTGATCTATGGAGTAATTACCACAAATCAGCCAGCACCACGAGGTAAAGCTCTCCCAGGCCAAAGCTTCCCTCACATTACTTCTGCTATTTGCGTAACTACCACAGAAAGAAGAGGACTGACCGTGTCCAGGTTCTGCATGATGTCCTGGAAGGATGGGTGCATCCTGAACTGCTCAAAGAGCTCCCTCTTGTAGAGCAGCGCATACACCAAGTTGGGGTTGTGGTGTAGAGAGTTGCACAGGCAAGAGTTGATGATTTCCAGCATCATGCGGATGACCTCTTCAATCACATTCAGGTCCTGGGCCTGCGGGAGAGGGAGGATGTAAAGGTTAATTGGTTTCCCACTACACTGGTTTCACTTTTAATGGTGTTTTAAAATAATTGCCTCCTGATAGACTGATCAGCAGGGGGTAACAGAGAGGTGGAAGAGATGGGAGGAGGAGAGAGAGAGAATGATGAAAGGAGGGAAGGAGGAATAAACAGTGTTACTAAGTTGTCAGCCAAGGTCTTTGTGAGGGACAGAGAGGTGACCTTGTAAGTCACAGATCAGGACATGTCACAGTTTGTTTCCTCTTGGGGCAAAGACAACTGAAGTGACAAGTGACAGTATGAAGGAGAGATGTGTGGGATGGATGGAGAATGAGACTCAGGAGGTTGAGTTGACATGATGAGTTATTTACAAAGTTCTTTTACACAAAGAGGGCTTGTCACAAATCAAAAAACAAAGCAGAAAGGTTCATAAATACAGATATCAAGCAGAGAACACGACACATTACAAACGTGTAAAAGGCAGCCTGAGTATGTCTTAGTTATGAGACATCAAGCTTACATCTGAAAGGTAAGTTTAAGGTGAAAGTAACTTTTTCAACGTAAGAATTTTCATCTCTAACTCACCAGCATTCAAGCTGAAGTTGAACTAAGTCGCTCAGCAATGCACGTCATGTCTACTTGCATGAAAGGATTTGAAATGAATGACAGATATGGCTCCAGCTTATCAAAGTCACAGAACCTGTCTTCTAACTCTTGCCCAAGTCTATTTATGAGTTGAGAGTACTTTTCTGCAGACCTGTACAATGCCCTAGACGCAGAGGCATTGTCATTCAGCACTGACTGCAAAGAGGGAAAGTGCTGCAATTTCTTTCTTTGTAAATGCACAGAGAAAATGTTCATCTTGGCTTTAAATGCATTTGCAGCTCTGTTCATGTCAGAGACTCTTAAATTTGCCTCGCAGTTCACAGTTCAAATGTTTCAGTTTCCCAGTGATGTCTGTTAGAAATGCAATATCTAGTATCCACTCAGTGTCCTGAAACAGCGAGGCATCTTCCCCTCTGGATTCCATGAACTCTTTGATTTCACCCACAAGTGATATAAAAAAAAGCTGCAAAGCCCTTCCCCTGCTGAGCCGTCGGATTTCAGTGAGTAGTAACAGGTCACTAAATTCAGCTGACAGCTCCTCCAACAAGACCTTGAATGACCTGTGTTGTTTAGCTTTGGAGTGGATGCCGTTTATGATCTTCACTGACTAGAGTCATTATGTTATCGAAGGTCATCACTTTTGCAGATAACGCCTGCTGGCGAACGATGCAGTGGTTCTGTGGAAATTTGGGGAAATCTGGGTCGCCTTTGCGTTACACGACGAGCCTGTGTAACAACCGGTCATCACAGACAGCAGCTTCTCTAACAGTATCTTTTTCTCCACAAAATACCCTTTCACGGTGTTGTAGATATCAACGCCCCTTGTTGTTATATGAAGGGGCAGTAGTGTCAGGAGTTCCTCTTTCGTGGCGAAATCATGAAACAGCAAAAAGATGGCTGTTTGCCTTTAATTCACAGGCATTTTCTACCCATAATGAGCTACCTGGTGAGTAACTAGCATTGAAGGTCATGTCGTATGTACTGACGTGCCTCTAGACATGCTGCTTTGCTGTTGCCACAGTTGCCCCACACATGTGACATACATTCTTTTCTTTCACTGTTTTGAAGAAGAACTCTCCCTCCTACTGCTTGTGAAAGTGGTATGTTTTCTTCTGCTTTTCTGCCATTGTTTACAGCGTAAACAATGGCATCGTATGTTCATCACTGTAGCTATGCTAGCTAGCAGGAATCATGCATGAGTGAGAAGAGGGGATCTGACAAACCTAATTTTGACCCCAGTTGGGTCAAAGTTATATATTGTAAATAAACCATTGATGTTTTTAAAATGTTATACACAATGCTAAACTAGTTATTTTTTACATTCATGCAAGTGTTTAAAAAAAAAAAGGGAGACAATTTAGGCTATTCTTAGACCGAGCTCTACTGGTGTCTTATGCTATTATTACAACGTGCCCTGCGGGTGACTCATTGGCTTACTGTGGGCGACCAGGTGCTCGTGGGCACTGTGTTGGCTACCCCTGCTCTACTTTGGGATTTTGTGTGTGGGTCTGTATGTGGTGTCCACCCAACCATGCTGCCCATTCTTAATGCATGTAGTAGTGGTAGTTTTAGTCAGTCAAGAGATGAGTAAAGCACTCTCACTCCATTCAATAACGCTTCCTGTTATTCACCTCGGTGTGACTAATGTTGTCAGGTGTGGAGGTCTTCACGGACCTGTGGATGTGCAAAAATGAAATTTTAATTAAAGAAGACCCAATCCTAAGGGGACCAGAGGACAGTCAGACCTGGTCTGAAAAGACACGAGGACAATTAAGACTTGATCCAAGGCAGTCAAGCTGAAAAGAACATGGGCACCGTCAGCAGCACGATGTTCCCCTACTTAAGAAGCACCCTACGCTCAAAAAGAGTTGTAAAACATGTAATTTTTCTCTGCATTTCACAGTTCACACTAACTATCTTGTCTCAGAAACACATTTTTCTCTGGTGACACCTTGGATCCACTTATTATAGACTTATTGAAAATCAGGCATGACTCGGGTCTTGGTTAGTGCGACCCAAGTGGACCTGTGAAGAGTGCTAGACAGATGGACGTTCTCTTCTAAGTTAGCTGTCTGTTAAGTACACATGTACAATCTAAAGTAATACAATACAATAGCCAGTCGATAAATCCTACATCTGTAAAACTTAAAATCTTCATTTTTCTAGATGCTGTCAGCTTGTTGGTACTATGACACCTTTAATCTTTGTACCACCAGTTGTAACACCACTTTCAGCCCTAAATTACTGAGAGTTTTGGTAGTTCCAAGAAAATCACTCTTGTCATTAATATAGAAATCTAAGCAGCAAGGTATTCCAAAAATGAATCAGCCCATCAGCTCTACATGGGAAACCTGCAGTGTAAGAACAGATATTCTATCCTGCATTGTTCTATAGTTACGGTGTTTACAACAGTGGGTCGAGACAGACAGACAGATAGACAGACAGAGAGACGCCAGCCACCATGACGAGATAACATGTTTAGTGCTAGCACAAAAAGGAAACCGCAGAGTGACGGTGGGAAAATGAATAATCTTTAAAGAGATAAAAAACAGGCGGCAATGAATTGGCGAATACAGCTCAAGAGATGATGTCTGATTTCCTATGGTGTGACAACTGTGGGCAGAGCTCTGCAAAATCTATCATGCACTGATGGTATTATAGATAAGATCAATAGATGATGCAGGCAGTTTCCAAACCAATCTAAAAATACAAAACAATGCTTTGTCTCAACAAAAACAAGCACTGCCAGTAAAATGGGCTTGAGGCAGCGTTTTCGTGTTCATTTGCCAAAAGTGAAACAATTTTATGACTACCTTCCTGTCCAATTTAATGCAAGATCATTTGGAAAAGTGTACCGCTTGAAAGCTCATTAACCCTACGATGTCTATAAAAAGTGTATCTATGTTGGGCTGAAAGGAGCCAAAAGACTTACCGGTCAACAGCTAAGAAGAAACGGAGACAAAAGGATGTAGGCTCGAGTCAACAACATTCAAAGCAACTTAGCTTAATGCAATGGAGTCGTAATGGAATTAATCCAGTAGTATGGTATGTGCATGCCCGTGAGCAAATATGCAGAGTATAGCCCGACTCATACTATTTTTGAGGTGATAACAATATTCTTTCTTTCTTTTTCTTTTTTTTTACATTAACAAGACAGAAACGATTTTGTTAAGAATCATTTAAGTTTGTTTTTTTTTGTTTTTTTTTAATGATCTGAGACCAATATATGTTCGATATAAGCGACAGGTTCAATAGTTGAAAAACAAACTTCAAATAATGGCTGTACTGTTTCTAAATTTCCATTTTTGTGTACATACTGAAAAAACAAACCCACATGCAAGTTACTGAACCACTTATGGACATCAGAATACCTTGCAGATGCACTCTGTCACTTATTCTCTTGACATTGTTCTGGCCAACATAGTGAGTGCTTTCACGAGAATGAATGGACTGACATGTTTGTATTCATCATCCACAGGCCTTTTTCATTTTGACTAGTCATAGCAGGAAAAGCACAGGTGTTACTAATAACATTAATTATAGCTGTGTCCCAGTAAGCCATGCTCAATATCAGGACACCGAAACTGAAGCTGCTAAATGGAATTTGTAAGAGAAATATATTGAAAGATTTAGTCTACAAGGATACTCTGCCCTGCAGGGTGTTTCTGCATCAACTGGTTCATACTGGTTCATACAGACCACCACGCTTCAGTTACTACAACTACAAAAATGCAAACTTTGACTATTGAATATGCTGTGACAACAGCTCAGAAAGGCACTGAATACCAGTCAAGGACAGTGACATTAACAAGATAGATGCTGGAATCAACACTGTAAGTGCACATCTGCATCATTCTAACAACTGTTGGACTTTTAATTGACCAGTTCAGCCAGTTGGTCCCAAAGCTTTAATCATTATCTTTGCTTTACAGGAAGCCTCGCCTTAGACAGTACTCATCAGCAACTTCCTCTGGGGTAACATCCTGCTTCATCTCAGGCTTGAAATGAGGAAAGTGTATTCCCTGGAAGTATTGTAAGTCCTGTAAAATACATTAGAATAACATGCTGAGCAAGCCAGTTTAATCTTTAATGTGTAGATGTGTAAATCAGTAGATTTATGATTTAGAAAAAAAAAAAAAAGCTTGTTTCCTCTGCACCGTGAGCCACATTTCAAACCGCAAAAAGTGAAATAAAGAACATCCAGAAAAATCTGTTTAGCCTCATGTTACCATAGGAAAACAAACATACAATAACTTTCACAGGAGATAATATAAGCCTCTATGTTCTCCATGACAAAAATGATTGTTCTGACGATGTCCTGTTTTGAAACAAGAATTTGCTAATACCAGCTAACACCAGATTCAAAACAGCAGCCTGGTGAGACTGCAA